CATGGGCATGACTGGACAGGACTGTACATGGACTGGGATTACAAGACAAGAGATACAAGGTAAAACAAGAGGAGACATAACTAAGCACTATATATGAAAAGTATGGGGATATAGTTACATTATATGATCATACATTGCGCGAGCCTGCCAACAACGCCAATGTACCCCATATCTGGCAGGTCCTACACTGCCTAATGTTAGCTAAAATAACCATACTAAACCACAATAGCACTTACCTGCAAGAAAGGGCAGAGACTTGAAACACTGCTGCAGGTCCAGACTGAAACAAAAGGAAAATGGAAACAAGCGGGTGTGGCAACATAAAACAAACATTTAAAGGAATCCAAGAGACTGGGAAATGCAGGGACAGACTGTAAGAATGAACCCAGAAACCCAGCAATAACGAAAACCAGACATAGACCAGAAAACCAGAAAAACCAAGCAAGGACAGCAAAAAGAGTACTGGATACCAGAAGCCATTGCCAGAATGATCCGCAGCGAGGAACAGAACGTGACAGTAACTATGTGTCATTGTGTGTGTATGCATGTGTAAGTGTGTTTATTTGCATGTATGTCTGTGTATATTTGTGTGTGTCTATATAAACTACACACAAATGCACACCTACATTCAAACACCAACATTCACACACATACACCACACAAATACATGCTTACATTCGAACACAAACTGGATATAGAGAAAATAGGACAAATGGGTTGCAGATTATAAACAATCTGCCTCCCAAAAAGACCTTGTATCCTTATATGAAGAAAGCTACTCTGCAATTAAAGTAGAAATCCTGTACTGACTTGAATAGCAAATTGAAAAGTACAATGTGAATAGGGATATATTATACTACTTCACTTTCCATTCATTTATTCATTCTTTCATTTTTTCAATCTCCATTTCTCCTTTCATTTTACCATTAATGGAGTACTTTTCAATTTGCTATTCAAGTCAGTACAGGATTTCTACTTTAACGAATTCTCTTTGAATCAATATTTATTCTCCCTCTTTATTTTTTGAGTTTACTTTATTTTCTATTTTAATCACACTGTGGGGCTTATGTTTCTATGCCCCAATTTATTCGATTCATATAAGTTTGAATATCCCTCTAATGTTGTTTTTCTCTGGGCTCATTATATTTACTACATGATAGAGTTTATTAAGACATACAAAGTCACACATGGTGTTCAATTATTACATCTTTACTATATGTGATGTGTTTTACACTGTGTGACATACTCATACATGTAGTGCCACTGTTGTGATATTTATCATGATTACTAGGGAATTGTTCCCTAAATGGGCTCCATTTGTTTTACCCTGCAGCGTTATGTTCATCTATACGCTACTTTCGCCAGCTCTTCTGTTTAGCTATATTTACATTTTACACTTTGTGCCTTCACTCTATGAAGATAGAAGATATGTGCTAGCTTCCATTCATATTTTGGTTATGTGAGGGTTAAATCTACAATTAGCTTCACTCCTGTTGAGCTTGGTACTTTTCTCCGCCCCCTAATTCCTGATTGGATAACAATGGTTACATCATGCTTACGGGTGGAGCTTTAAACACATTTAAAAAGAGGCTCCCTTCAGTCTGCAAATTGCTCTTGATAAAGGTGACATGTTTTGCCGAAACGCGCGTTGAGCACTGCACTAAAGCGGATGATGATTTTAATCTAGGATTCTATTTTGTTTTCAGACTGTCCTATCATTTATTTATTTATGGTGGGATTAGATACTAGTCTATTACCAGCATGATATTAGGGACTCCTTCCCCCAAATCTCCTACAGCTGTTTAGGCAGTTTGCTTTACACTTATATTGCTGGCTACTTAGACTGCAGCCTTTTTTCCTGCAATGTTGCAAATGTATTTTGGTAGATCTTTGTGCACATATTTTTTGTCCATTTGATATACTCTTTGTTCTAATTATAGAGTTTATTTACTTTTGTATTTAGAGATCTTCAGTTTGCTACATTTAATGTATCTCCCCCCTTTTGGTTATAGTTATTTGCTACTATTTATGGCAATTCTGCCATATACATGGTGGGATTAGATACTTGTCTATTACCAGCAAGATATTAGGGACTCCTTCCCCCAAATCTCCTACAGCTGTTTAGGCAGTTTGTTTAACATTTATATTGCTGGCTATTTAGACTGCAGGCTTTTTTCCTGCAATGTTGCAAACATATTTTGGTAGATCTTTTGCACATATATATTCTTTGTGCACTTGATATACTCTTTGTTCCAATTATAGAGTTTATTTACTTTTGCATTTTAAGATCTTCAGTTTGCTACATTTAGTGTATCTCCCCCCTTTTTTGGTCAATTTGCTACTATTTATGGCAATTTTGCCACATACATACTTATAGCATTTCTTCTGACCATATTACTATTATTTTTGGACTAGTCGATTCTATCTAATTAGATCCTCATTTTATTACTTGTTTGTTTTAGTATCTGTGTGTTTCTCCAAGAGGGATTAATAAAGAGTTTTTCGTTTTTTGCTCTCTGCGCTCCACTTTTATATTTATAATTGCAGAGTAGCTTTCTTCATATAAGGATACAAGGTCTTTTTGGGAGGCAGATTGTTTATAATCTGCAACCCATTAGTCCTATTTTCTCTTTGCACTTTTAGGGGTTAGGCCCCATTGTATCTTTCAACCATCACAACCTGGCGGATGGATTTGTTCCATTCCTAACCAGTGCTGTGTTTCTTACAAACTGTATATATGTCACGTTCTGTTACAGTCTGCAGCTCATTTCTGGCCACGACATCTGGTATCCAGTACTCTGTTTACAATTCTTGCTTAGTTTTTCTGGTTCTCAATTCTTTGTCCCGGTTTCTTTATGCTGGGTTTTCTGGGTTCATTCCTGTATTCCGTTCCTGGAATTCTCAGTCTACTGGATTACTTTAAATATTTGTTTTTGTTGCAACACCCGTTCCTTTGCCATTTATCCTTTTTGTTTCAGTGTTCCCTGCTAGCAGTGACCTCATTCCTCTGCTCCTTTTCTTGCAGGTAAGTAATGTGTGTGTTTTATTGTTGTACTTTTAGTCTTGCATATCTAGGCAGTTAGGAACCTCCGTAATTGGAGTACTTTGGCACAGTGGTAGGCTGCATACATCTTGGCCATTTATGTATGTCTAAATCTCCAATGTTTATTACATATATAGTACTTCATTAATTCTCCTCTTGTTTTGCCTTGTATCTCTTGTCTTCTATTCCCAGTTCATGTACAGTTCTGTCCTGCCCTGTCCATGTCCTGTTCTTGTTTCCCTCATGTCTTGTGTACATGTTCTGGGTTCTGCTTTCTGTCCTGTTCCGGTTCTGGGTTCTTCTAGTTTTGTCTTGTTATCTTGTTTGGTGCCTATTCTAGTATTGCCTTGTTTCTAGTACTGGATACATATCTGCATAACATTTAGCACCTGGGATCCACAGTAGCTGCATCAGGGTCCTGCTATGTGGCTTCACAAACCCTGGTGCTCAACACCAGGGGGCGTGTGGTTACCCTGCACCAGCCCTGAATGGTCATTTCCATGCTGTAACTCCTACCATCATCAGGCATACAGGGGTCCGGACCGTCACCCATGACAATATATATATATATATATATATATATATATATATATATATATTTATTGTGTGTGCGTGTGTGTGTGTGTGTGTGCGCGCGCGCGCGCGCGTGCGCGTGTGTGTGTATATATATATATATATATATATATATATATATATACACACACTGCATGCACTAAAACACACCATTTCCACTTTATACACACTGCATCCAATACACAAACACTCCCTGTATCCACTATTCACAAATTGCGGACTTGGAGGCAGGCCTTGTGAGTGGGCTTGGAGGCAGGCCCTGTGGGCAGCTTGGAGAGACACACACTCTCACTGACAGACACAGGAATGTGCCCATTCTCTGTTCACACTGTGCCATCCTCACACATATAACACTGTGATATACTGACATGTATCCATTCCCTGTACATTGCACACAGAGACCTACATATACAGTAATATGCCACACACACTCACTCCTGCTGGGGGCAGTGTGGGGTGGTGTAAAGGAGGGTGACAGTGTGGGGGGCAGTGTGTGTTGTTGACCATTTCTCACTGAAATTAAGTTAGGAGGATATACATTTTAAAGTATATCTTAAATGCAAAGTATAATCATTATATTAAAGGGTGAAAAGGGAGTAAATCACTATATACAACACAATTATGACTAGAAAAAAACCCTCCAAAATTTTACCTCAAAAACACCCGAAACACAGTGAGCACAATTATATAGAATGTGGAGGAATCTAGTAGCTATAATATAAAATACACAGGATATAAAGTGTAACTAAAACCATGAGATTAAGAGTGATATAAAACAGAATATATTTAAATACAAACAGAACGAGAAATAAAAAATATCTGGTGTGAAAATCTAGAAGAAAAAGCAGGGCTCCATATGGTGTAATACACATAAAGGAACACTATAGGGTCAGGAACACAAACATGTTAAAACCATCATTTAGGGGGCCTCCCCTCCCCCCCCCCCAAGCCCTTATAGAAAGGGTTAAAACGTACCTTATTTCCATGTGCCAGCACTGGCCCTGCCCCGATCTGCCTCTTTTTTACCATAGGAAAAGCAGTGAATTAGCTGAGATTGTCAATGAGGTTGGAATGGGGGCAGGGCCAAACACCAGCCTGGCCAATCAGCAGCTCCTCGTCAAGATACATTGAATCAATGCATCTCTATGTGGAAAGTTCAGTGTCTGCATGCAGAGGGTAGAGATACTAAATGTCTTACTAAATGCCCAGTGTGCAACACTGCCCCAGGAAGCACCTCTAGTAGCCATCTGAGTAGTTGCCACTGGAAGTGTCCCTAGGCTTTAATGTAAACACTGCCTTTTCTCTGAAAAGATAGTGTTTACTTTCAAAAGCCTGCAGGGACTGACTATACTCACCAGAACAACTACATTAAGCTTTACTTGTTCTGGTGACTATAGTGTTCCTTTAAACACTAATGGACAGGGAGAGGGGGAAGGGATAGCACTCACAAGATGGTTATGATATTCAACCTTGTTTTCCCAGCAGGAGTATATCCAAAAGGGTATATCTTTAATTATAGCCCCTTGATGTATATGGAATAGAGAAAAATAGTAAAATAGTGCAATATAGTATATAAAAAGAAACATTTATGGATAAATGCACCTTAAAGAAAGTAGATAAAACAGGCATGTCTCCACTGCAAGTGAGCCAAATGGAAAAAAAAATCACTCTCAACCAATGGGGCACTTTCCAAGTAAAAGATGTGGAAGCAGCGGAATAAAAATTAAAAGCTAAATAAAACCAAATAAAATAAAAACTAATAGCAGCAATCCAGCAGCAATGCAATGAATTTCGTCCAGCCTCGACTTCCTCATGAATATGAGATACACAGTGAAATGCTAGAACTCTCTCCAGTTCAGTCCCATGTGGGGATCTGGAAATATATACCAACAGGCACGCATTCTGATCAGAACATACAATAATAAAAATAAGGCCAAAAATACATAATGAAAACATAAGGGGTGTGATACTTATTTTGTAATACTTCTTTAATTGGAACTCAACTGCAGATTTTCTGATTGCAGCAATAATAGGTTTCACCTCCTTTTATACTGAAATTAAACAATGGTGACTGTATCTTTAAATACACATGCAGGAATTATGCAATTTAAATAAATTGATTATTGCAGGAATAATTAGCCTTAGTAGCAATCCCTTATGAATAAAAGTAATTGATTAACAAGTGACAGTTTAGTGAGGTTTAAATATTGTATAACATAAATAATATGAATTGATTTCCTTGGCAAAAGTTTTACTTAACTTAGAGGCAGTTCTGGCACTGGAAGGGTTAATTCACCCAATGGAGGAGAATTTAGAAGCCTGAATTAACAAGCTGAGAATTAGGAGTGGAGAGTGAGGAAGTCCGTTTTACAAGCCGAGGTCTGGGAGAGGAGAAGGTAGAATTCCGTTTTACAAGCCGAGGTCGAGAAGTGGAGAAGGTAGAAATCCGTTTTACAAGCCGAGGTCGAGAAGTGGAGCTGGTAGCATCAAAGTAGAGCAGCTGATCTCTATGCAGCACCTGAGTGAATAATCCAGCCCTTTGAATCTGGCACGGTCTTCCTAAGTATCATGGAAGGACCGCGTCAGAAAAAGGGGTGGGGCTAAGCGCCGCGAACCCGGAAGTGGGTTCTGACGGCGGCATGAATGCCAGAGTATACCTGACAAGGGGATGCCAGTATGATGTCTCAGAAAAAAACTAATTTAACCTGAAAGTACAGATAGTAGTTATACAAAAAAAAGAAAAAGAAAACTAAAATACAAGGGAAAATTAAAATGAAAAAATAATGAATATGAAAAATAATCATAAATAATGTAAAAATAAGTAAATAATTAAAAATCATTATTAACCCTTTAAGGACTAAGCCAAATGTACACGTTGTGGTCAAAACAAAACGTAAACAAAAACTTGAATTTGCGCTAAATGCCTGTTCCGGCGTAATTCACCTCTTTCACATTATGTGAACCCACACTTATTATAGATCATTTTATTGAGGGGAAACAGGGCTTTCATTTAACATCAAATATTTAGGTATGAAACATAATTGAATATGAATAAAATATAAACAAGTGGGAGAAAATAAGAATAAAAAAAAAAAAACGTAGTTCTACGTGACATTTTAACTGTGAATGTCATAATACTGTTTGCTTTTACTGCAATAAAATACACATATTTGTATTCAGCGATGTCTCACGTGTAAGACAGTATCCCCTTGTACAGGTTTATGGTGTTTTGGGAAGTTACAGGGTCAAATATAGCATGTTGCATTTTTTTCACATTGAAATTTTCCAGATTGGTTACGTTGCCTTTGAGACCGTATGGTAGCCCAGGAATGAGAATTACCCCCATGATGGCATACCATTTGCAAAAGTAGACAACCCAAGGTATTGCAAATGGGGTATGTCCAGTCTTTTTTAGTAGGCAAAAATACAAGAAAAATAGGGGGCGCAAGAAATAGGTGTGATAATAAAAGTATTAACAAATATACTTATTCACACTTGTCCTTCAATATATGTGAGCTCCACCTAAATATAAGAATAATCCATAGCATAATACTGTATTTTATATGCAATCTTATTACAGGTGCCAAATTTCAACTCACAATTTGCAGAGCCAAGTATAGTAGGCTCTGACTATAACAGCTTGTTTCAAATATCCCTTCAGGTAATCCTCCACTTTTTCAAATATCACGCTGGTATTTGAAACAAGCTGTTATAGTCAGAGCCTACTATACTTGGCTCTGCAAATTGTGAGTTGAAATTTGGCACCTGTAATAAAATTGCATATATAATACAGTATTATGCCATGGATTATTCTTATATTTACGGGGAGCTCAGATATAGTGAAGGACAAGTGTGAATAAGTATAATATTTGTTAATACTTTTATTATCACACCTATTTCTTGCGCCCCTTATCTTTCTTGTATGTTTTATTACTGTTATGTATTTTTAGAGTGGTTTTGGACACTGGGGAAGTCGCACATATATACATAAGGAGTGCCACCTAGAACACCCTGTTTCACTTGCACTTTGTGTGTTAAGAAGCTATTTTATACTTTTTTAGTAGCCACTTGGTCACAAACACTGGCCAAAGTTAGTGTTAATATTTGTTTGTGTGTGAAAATGCAAAAAAACTAATTTGAACACCAATTTTGGCCAGTGTATGTAACTAAGTGGCTACTAAAAAGACTGGACATACCCCATTTGCAATACATTGGGTTGTCTGCTATTGCAAATGGCATGCCATCATAGAGGTAATTTTCATTCCTGGGCTACCGTACGATCTCAAAGGCAACGTAACCAATCTGGTGAATTTCAATGTGAAAAAACTGAAACGCAAGCCTTATATTTGACTCTGTAACTTTTGAAAACACCATAAAACCTGTACATGAAGGGTACTGTTATACTCAGGAGACTTAGCTGAACACAAATATTAGTGTTTCAAAACAGTAAAACGTATCACAAGAATTATATAATCCGTGTAAGTGCCATTTGTGTGTGGAAAATGCACAAAAAATGTCACTTTCACTGATGATATCAACGTTGTAATACATTTTACAAAGTCTTCTGAGTAAAACAGTACCCCCAATGTACAGGTTTTATGGTGTCTTGGAAAGTTACAGGGTTAAATATAGTGCTAGCAAATTAAATTCCCTGGACTTTCGGCCTGGGTTGTCAGGTAGGTCTCGCAAATTGTAATTAATAAAATGACCTAATTATGTAAAATTATTACATAAATATATACGTAAAATTTTTATATATATATATATATATATATATATATATATATATATATAGTGACCTTTAAGGGCAAAGCAACACAGTCCTCTAGGGTAACAGGTACAGAACAACAGTCTCTTATGCAAAAATGGTGTGGCTTATTTACATCGTGCACAAAATTCCATGCAGCAATCAGTTTGTACAAAACTTCAGCAAAACAGAAAGGAAAGTCTACAAACAAAATCCTAGCTCAAATTCGAGCACTAACTAAACATAAAGTAATGTCCCTTACTAAACCAGGGTAATAAACTACACAATTCAACAAAATAAACATTGGTTTCACCAACCTTTAGCACTTTGTTTGGTGCTGCTCAGCACAGACCTGCTCTCTCTCTGTATCTCCCCCTTTCTGCTCTGAGACCTGCTAATTAAAGCCTCAGCAGTTGCTAATTGGGAAGGTGAATGAGTACAGGCTATGGAGGAGTCTGGGTCCTAAATACCTTCTTTCTATTACCCTCCCATAGACTCTGTTACAATATATATACCGTATTTATCGGCGTATAACACGCACTTTTTCTCCCTGAAAATAGGGGGAAAATTATGGGTGCGTGTTATACGCCAGCCCTTTAAATACTGCAGCCGCCTGAGCGCTCTGTCAAGAGCGGTCAGGCGGCTGCAGTTGGTTCTCACCTCTCCTGTAGCGTGGCCGAGCTGCTCTGCTGTCTGCGGTGGCCGGCCGGAATGATAGGAAGGTGCACGCTCAGTGTGCACCTTCCTGTCAGTCTGACCGGGTACAGGAAACAGAAACTCCTGTTCGTGGGGGTAGGGGAGGGGTAAGAAGAGGGTAAGGGGGAGGGTAAGAAAGGGGGGTAAGAAAGAGGTAGAAGGGGGAGGGAGGTAGGGGGAGGAGGGAGTAAGAAAGGGGTAGAAGAGGGGAGGGAGTAGAAAGGGGTAAGAGGGGAAAGAAGTAAGAAGGAGGAGGAGGAGTAAGAAAGGGTAGAAGAGGGGAGGGAGTAAGAAGGGGGGGTAAGAGGGGAAGTAAGAAGGGGAGGGAGTAAGAAAGGGGTAGAAGAGGGAGGGGGAGTAGGGAGGTAAGAAAGAGGGAGTAGAAGGGGTAGAAAGAAGAGGGGGAGGGAGTAGAAGGGGGGTAAGAAGAGGGGAGGGAGTAAGAAGGGGTAAGAGGGAGGGAAGAAGTAGAAGAGGAGGAGGGGAGTAAGAAGGAAGGGGGTAAGAAGTTCTTTATTTGAAATTTAAGGGTTTTTTTTCTGAAATTTCTTTCTTAAAATGAGGTGCGTGTTATACGCCGGTGCGTGTTATACGCCGATAAATACGGTATATATGTATTTAATTTTTTTAAATTATTTGTATTTATATATAGGTATATATAGTGATATATACGTATATACTTATGTATGTGTATATATATATATATATATATATATATATATATATATATATATATATATATATATATATATATATATATATATATATATATATATATATATATACATACATACATACATACATATACACACACATACATTGATGTTGGTTTGTGTAATGCACCTTATCCTGTTGAAAGTTCTGTATTAAGAACTGAAACGTCGATTGTGTGTGGCAGTTGCTGAATAAAAGCTAAGTTTTTTTCACCATTTACTTTTTGAAGTCCTTAGAGTGCTGTTACCTACCATTTTTATTTATATATATATATATATATATATATTATTTATTTATTTTATTATTATTATTTTTTTACATATTTGCATTTTTATTTATTTTATATTATATATAAATATATATATAATGATAATTATATATATATTTAATCGATATCATTCTACGTGTATTTTGATATTAATATATATATATAGTAATATTAAAATACGCTTAGATAGTATATGTGTATTTATGTGTGTGTATATGTGTATGTGTGTGTGTGTGTGTGTGTGTGTGTGTGTGTGTGTGTGTGTGTGTGTGTATATGTATGTATATATATATATATATATATATATATATATATATATATATATACTTAGATCATATATAATAAATGTAATTTAATTTTATACTGTTTGAAACTTTAAAAAAAAAAAATTCAGGCAGCAGGGGGAGTACCTGTCATTCCAGGCACAACCCCTGCTGGCATTGCTGTGGACGGCTATGCCATCCATGTGATTGTGAGGTCCAGGCAAGGACTTTGCAATCACATAGACCAGGAGGGCCGAAACAGACGGAGGGGGACTCCCTGGGCTCCCAGGTAAGTCCCAATACTGCGATAGCCGGCATGGGATCGCCGGCAACCGGGTAAGTAGAAAGGACGGCGGGGCGTGCTATGCTGTCCCCCGGCGTTTATAGCCAGGTCCTTAAGGATGGCATAGCACGCCAGCCGTCCCTAAGTGGTTAATTAAAAAAATGAAAAAAATTATGAAATAATAAAATTAAATAAAATAATACATTTAAAAATATATGGAAAAAATATAAAAAATACTTTCAAATTTTTTTTTTTAAAGCATTAAAGTATATTTGACATTTACTACTAGTTTTCATTGTCCATTTATTACACTTTTTATGCTTTTAGTTGCCTTTATTATATTTTAATGTACTTCCATTCCTGACACTAAAAAACTTAACTAATAAGGAATACTACTCCTTAAAGAATCTACCCAACATTATATCCCTGGTGGGGATTATACCACCCAAGCATTATTATCTGAGCAGGATCTACTGCTCTACTACATGTGAGTAGAATAGTCTTACTTTTACAACCATTATAACATTGATTACAGTGAAGACTATTGTCTGACACCAGCCTCCAGATCTACTTAGTCATCAGGGGGGATTGTACCGCTGCATTCTGTTAAACTCAGAGCTGGTCTTAAATCTCTCTTAAATGTGAGTGATATACCATATAAATTATTGTTGTAGTCCTGTACCTAGTTCCATACTCTCTGCACCATCACTGGTTATTTTCTACTTTTAGTTCATATTCTCCCACCATTTGAAGTCTGGACGGTTACCAGTAGAGAACAGACCCTAGCAATTGTGGACTAATAGGACTTTATATTGTTGCAACCTATATTTTGTGTATATTGTTTTTTCTATATCTTTCAGAAAGGAGTTGAGGGTAACCCTTACTATTAGTGTTTGCTGCCTGCTATCATATCTCATATATGATGATCATATACTCAGTTGACACTCTAGCGCTTATGCTATCTGTGTATTTTTGGTATTTTTTATGTTTCGTGTTAGCTTGAAATAGGTTCTTATATAAACCTATTTAAACTAATGTAAACATTGCTATTTTCGTGTTTCCTGATATGCACTAGTCTTTCTAATTTGAAATCAAAATTCTTCAGAGAAATATAAGTCGGTCTTCTTTAAAAAAAAGAAGGAATTTACCTGGACTGAGATGAGACATCCTGCAAATAAACTTTCATATATTGTATTGCACTGTTGGAGCTCACTCAAAGTACATAATTTCTTGTCTCTGAATCATGAATCTATAAATCAAACATTTTCCTGATACATGTATAGAGAAGACTTATCAAAGAGTTCTGTTCTAAAAAGTGATTAAAAATACTAAAAGTGGGGCAATCACTATGGTAACCAATGTAACAGCAGGCACTGAAATTTGTCATTCCTGAAATTATTTGTATTTTCGCCACAACTAATTTGGCTGAAGCAAATGTTACGTTGATCTAGCATATTCCATTGGTGATTCCTCTACCTTTTACATTGTTGCACCACTTTTGAAACAGAACACTTTGATAAACCTTCCATATCGTTTTTTTCCAGCTGATTAAATCAACCTGTATACCACATTTACAAGCTTTTACAGTAAAAAAGTATTTAATATTTTGAAATGCATTGTTTAGCCATCCCGTATATAAAAAGAATTGAAGAGATTGTCCATGAAGGTCTTAGAAAGCTTCTGAAGTTTGTCACTAAAAAAGAAAAAAAAAAAGCTAAAATTAGTAAGTAACAATAAAAGATATTCTATTAAATATTATCAGAAATGGATACTAACTTCAGTGGGAAAAAAACACTCAATTTATTTTGGGATGATGGAGAATGGGATTCATATAAAATTAAGATAAATCTATTCTGCACTTCAATTCTCAGGGGAAATATTTATTCATCCAAGCCCCAACAGAAGGACTTCAAAAAATGTCAGAACCATGGAACATGTGGCAAACAACAGCAACTCCCTTTTTATAAATATAAAGAATATTAGACATGTGCAATTCGTTTCGGGCCGAATATGTATTCGGACGAATTTCGGACAATTCGGACATTCGGGTACTTCCAAATGTCCGAATAGCCGAAGTGCCGAATTACCGAGGTCCCGAAATTCTGAAATTGCCGAAGTGCTGAAGTGCCGAAGTTGCCGAAGTGCTGAATTGACAAAGTTCCGAAGCACAGTTTTGCCTAAGTACTAATATACTTACCCAGTGGAAGAAGAAGAATGTTACACTGTATACAATTTTAAATTAAAAGTATACAAACATAGCCAGGATTCAGCTGTAAGCATTTGCAACACTTACAACATTCAAGTAACACACATTCATATAAAATGTAAGTTACTTAGCCAGTCATGTAATGACAGGAATGAATAAGTAGATAACTTCCCATGGTATTAGGGAGCTATCTACTTAAAGGCTGAAAGACCTAAATTGGTCTTTCAGCCAAATTTACTAATACTAAGTAAAGATTACTTAGTATTAGTAAATTATGCCCCTACTCGCTATACTGCGAGTAGGGGCATGTCTAGTAAACAGTGGCTGCTCACTGTAAAAAAAAAAATTAATTAGGGGGGACCTAATGTCCTCCCCCTGGCCCCCACCACTGAGCGGTGGGTGGGGTCCCTAAATACTAATTGGGGGGGACCTAATGTCCTCTCCCCTGGCCCCCACCCCTGAGCGTTGGTGGGGCCCTAAATACTCATTGGGGGACCAAATGTCCTCCTCCCTGGCCCCCACCCCTGAGCGGGGATGGGGGCCCTAAATACTAATTAGGGGGGTACCTAATGTCCTCATCCCTGAGCGTTGGGTAGGGGCCAGGGGGTAGGACATTAGGTTCCTCCCCTAATTAGTATTTAGGGCCCCCACCCACCGCTCAGGGGTGGGGACATTAGGTCCTCCCCCTCATTTTAATTTAGGGCCCCCACCCACCGCTCAGGGGTGGGGGCCAGAGGGAGGACATTAGGTTCCCCCCAATTAGTATTTAGGGCCCCCACCCCTGAGCGGTGGGTGGGGCCAGGGGGGAGGACATTAGGTTCCCCCTCTAATTAGTATTTAGGGCCCCAGCCCACCGCTCAGGGGTGGGGACATTAGGTCCTCCCCCCTCATTCTAATTTAGGGCTCCCACCCACCGCTCAGGGGTGTGGGCCAGGGAGAGGACATTAGGTTCCCCCAATTAGTATTTAGGGCCCCCACCCCTGAGCGGTGGGTGGGGGCCAGGAGGGAGGACATTAGGTTCCCCTCTAATTAGTATTTAGGGCCCCCACCCACCGCTCAGGGGTGGGGACATTAGGTCCTCCCCCTCATTCTAATTTAGGGCTCCCACCCACCGCTCAGGGGTGGGGGCCAGGGAGAGGACATCAGGTCCCCCCCAATTAGTATTTAGGGCCCCCACCCCTGATCGGTGGGTGGGGGCCAAGGGGGAGGACATTAGGTCCCCCCAATTAGTACTCACTGTTTACTAGACATGCCCCTACTCGCGGTATAGCGAGTAGGGGCAAAATTTACTAATACTAAGTCATTTTTACTTAGTATTAGTAAATGTGGCTGAAAGGCCTAAATTGGTGGGAATAAGGGAGTTATCTACCAAGCGGCTGCAAGACAAGTTCCGAAATTCCAAAGTTCCGAAGTTGCCGAAGTTCCAAAGTTCCGAAGTGTCGAAGTGCCGAAGTTACCGAAATTCCAAAGTGGCGAAGTTCCGAAGTGTCGAAGTTGCCGAAGTTCCGAAGTGTCGACATGCCGACGTGCCGAATTGCCGAAGTCCCGAATTTCGGAATGCTGAACCGAACCGAAAAATTTTCCCATGCACATGCCTAATGAATATAAAAAAAACTTCATGTGAAATTTGAAGATATAAATACCTATCGTTAACTAAAAAAATCTAATAATCCATAGAGACAGGAGATTAGCAAAGACTATCAATGCCACGTCTTGATTTTTCAATGTGAAGGTTCATAGTATATATATATATATATATATATATATATATATATATATATATATATACAGATATCTTGGCATGTCTGGAGGGAGCCTCTACCTTTAGGCCTCCATAATAGTCAACAAGAAACCATCAGTCCAAATGGTGCCAAATGTAGAATTTATTAAGCCAACTGTAAAACTGAGTTAAAGGGACACTATGGTTGTGATGGGAAACACCTTTTTTTTACAATATTTAACAAAGAATTAGTCAGGTTTAAACAAATTACTGAATAAATAAAGTTACAAGTTTTTACCTCCTGAGACCCAGCCCATTAACTTGTGTCCTCTGTATCGGACATTTCGTTCACATGCATCACCTTTTATTCTTTTGAGCTACTCTATCAATCCCTGCTGCAGGGCCGCCATCAGGGGGTGACAACCGTGACAGTTGTCACGGGCTCGGCGGCCCTGGGGGGCCCGGACTGCTCTGGCAGTCCTGGGCCCCACTTTGTTTCTCTGCACACATAGATAACGAATCTCGCTATCTATGTGTGCAGCCGCGGGCCCCCCGGCTCCCTGTTACCGTCCGCAGAGGGGGCCCAGGCAGCACACAGCTTCTCCTCCTGTCTTCTCCTCTTCTCATAACTCTCGCGAGACCCGCGGAGCATTGCCTGGGCCCCCTCTGCGGACGGTAACAGGGAGCCGGGGGGCCCCATGCCACCGGGCCACCACAGATGGAATCTCCCCCCTCCCTGGATACAGGTAAGCAGGGAGGGGGGAGAAACATTTAATTAAATTAATTAAAAATTAATGTTAAAATGCCCCTTCCTCCCCCTCCCCCCCAGATTGCACATTTACACAACACACACTGCATACACTGCATACACTAACACACACTGCATACACTGCATACACTAACACACACACTGCATACACTAACACACACTGCATACACTGCATACACTAACACAACACACTGCATACACTAACACACACTGCATACACTGCATACACTAACACACACACTGCATACACTAACACACACTGCATACACTGCATACACTAACACACACACTGCATACACTAACACACACTGCATACACTAACACACACACTGCATACACTAACAAACACTGCATACACTAACACAACACACTGCATACACTACTTACACACACACCATACACTAACACAACACACACACACACACTGCATACACTAACACAACACATTGCATACACTAACACAACACACACACACACACACTGCATACACTAACACACCATACACTAACACAACACACACACTGCATACACTAACACAACACACTGCATACACACAACACACACACATACACTAACTGCTTATACACTAACACAACACACACACACACTGCATACACACTAGCACACACACACACACACACACTGCATACACTAACACAACACACACACTGCATACACTAACACAACACACACACCATACACTAACACAACACACACACACACATACACTACTAACACAACACACACAACATACACTGCATACAATAACACATACACTGCATTCACCAACACAACACACACTGCATACACTAACACAACACACACTGCATACAATAACACACATACACTGCATACACTAACACAACACACACACTGCATACACTAACACAACACACACACACACTGCATACACTAACACAACACACACTGCATACACTAACACTGCATACACTGCATACACTAACACTGCATACACACTGCATACACTAACACAACACACTGCATACACTAACACAACACACACACACTGCATACACTAACACAACACACTGCATACACTAACACAACACACACACACTACACACTAACACACACTCTGCATTCACTAAACTATGCATACACTCTGGATTCACTATACTGACACACACTCTGCATTCACTACACTAACATACACTCTGCATTAACTGTACACACAGCATCCACTACACAAACATCCTGTATTCACAGTACACACACTACATCCACCACACATTGAAACACTCTGCATTCACTATACACAGACACTGCGTCTAATACATGCACTACATCCACTACAGACACTGCACCCACTAAACACATTTCATCTAGTACATACAAACACTACATCCACTACACAAACACACACTACATCACTGTACACACAGTATAGCCACTACTCAAACACACTCTGCGTTCACTATACACACTGCATCCGCTTCACAAACACACACTCTGCATTCACTGTACAAACAGTATCTAATACACACAAACACTACATCCATTACACACATTCTAATTCACTTCCACTATACACACCACATTCAGTCCTGCATCTTTGTCAGCGGACCAGGTAGGGCGTGGGCGGGCCCGGGAGTGAGGGGGGGCCCAGACCTTGTGCTTTGTCAGGGGCCCCAAAATTTCTGATGGCGGCCCTGCCCTGCTGTATTGTAAAGAGGACATCCTGGGCTTTCATGTGATATGGATGCTGGGAACTTCCTCTTCCTTTTCATCAAAAATGGAAAGAAATTGGAAGACAATTTTTTCCCTCGGTTTCCAGGATGTTAATACTAATGCAGTTGAAGAAAAATACATGAACAGCTTTTACTTTTACCTCGGACATATATAATTATGGAAATATAAACTGAGATACAATATTATAGTGTTAACATTACAAAAAATATCTAAAGAAATAACCAGATAGTAACTGTTTTGTGTGAACAAACGATCTGAAAACAAAGCTTTGAAAAAAAAAGAAAGTAAGTAAATATAGTCTGCCTTAATACACATATCATTACTTTTATGTATAAATGCAAAAAGGAGAGGAAGAATGGAACCATTAATGACAGAGGATTGGGGATGCCAATAAGACATGGGTGAGAAACAGATGATATATATATATATAAAGAGATAAAAAGGCACACAATAGGAGGGAATAAGGGACCCAGATATAAAACAAGAAGGAAATGTGGGAGCGGATATAACATGGAGGGGTGAAAGGGGGGGAAACAGAGCAAAAACAAATGAAGGAAGGAAGAAGACATGCCATGGCTGGTAAAGAGGAGATATGGTGGAATGTCCTTGTGGTTGATAAAAGGACACACATGCATCGGGGGTTGGCAAACATTAAGAGATGAAATGTCTGTTAGATAAGAAGTCAGTGAGCGTTAAAGAAAGCAGAATCATAAAGTAGGCATTAA